AGGGGTACAGTAAGAATTAATTAGCTTGATGTGTGTATGAGAAAAATTAACGGGTTAACTGATGTAAATACGTGACCATAGTCGAGAAAGTTAACAGAGTTAATGTGTGATTGTTGTGGCATTGACAGCTTTGCCCTGGTAATGGGGTGTACAGTTTTCGCTCGTTGAAGAGAAGGTTTGCCCCGGTGAAAAGGGGTAGTTTTCCCTCGGTGGAGGAAGTGCAGCCTATAGGTTTAGTGCTCTGCAAGTTCAATCCCTCGGTAAAAGAGGGTTTTCTTTGAATTGACTGCCAACAAAATGCGTAAATTAAAATAGCAGTGGAGCTGTTTTTAAAATGAAGAAAATAACAAAAGGAGATGAGATTTGGTGATTAATGTTTCATAAAGATGAAGTGTTTTCTGTATAAGAAAAAAGTATTTTGTGTAAATGGTTTTACTGTTATCTTGTTATTTTTTGGTGTTTGTCCTCTTTATATGTAAATATTGGTGAAGTGTGGTTTTGGGATGTGTGCTCGGTGTGTGTGGGAACCTTAGGGACGGATAGTTCAAAGTTGTTAATCTAGAAGAGATCTGCAGGCAAGCAGAAATAACTTTTTAATTTGTGCTAGATTAAACTGTAAAAAAAATAAATAAATAAGGGTTTACAGAAAAGGGTTTAGTTTGGCTCAAGACTGTGGTATGCTTGTCTTTAGTGGTTTCAGGGTTTGATCTTTGCCTAGAACGGTACCCACTGAAATAAACATTTGGGACCATTGGTTGCATAGATGCTTTTTAGAGTAGCCTACAGGAGTGAATGAGAATTTGTTGTAATGTGCTAAATTTGAGAGAAAGTGTGATGTTGAGGAATCAACCAGACTCACTCAAAAAGGCAGGTGAGGTCAGATGGTGCCAAAAGAGGGGGGAAGTTTTCTTCCCCTAGAGTTGACCTTTTTACATGAAAAAACCAGAGACATCGCCTGGTGTTTGTTAGGGATCAGCAGACAATGCATCTCTTAAGGATTGTGTATTCAAAGAGCCTTAGTGAACCTCTCTAGCCGTAAAGGTGTCACTAGAGACATTTAGTAGGTCAGCAAAAGGGGCTGTCCGACCCCTCTCTCTCCGCAGGTCACCTCCGGACATAAAAAGAACCACCCGTCCGGCCCCAACCTGACTCTTTTTCCCATAGAACAGCTGAGGCATAAACCACCACTCCCTTCTCTCTTGTAGCCGATGGGCAAATGTGATAAGCCAATTTCCTACTAAAACATTCGCCCACACGCCGGTGTGTATAACCAGCTTCCCGGTTAAAGTGGTAAATCTCACAGTTGAATGTCTACTGTTTTCTCATTTCCCGAGCTCCACCAAGGGGACAGGAAAGGTGTAACACACAAGTGTTTAAAACTCGGCTTACACCGACAATGAGCGCCAAGTACCTATCACCATGTAATTGTATAAACGAAATATTTTTGCTTACATCTAAATTGTCTCTTGAGTTAAAACCCGTAACGATCAAGTTTACCCTGAGAACATGTAGTTAAGCTTTGTTACGTTTTTTATATAACCATTATAACCTTTAATCCTCTAGTGTTTAGTCTTGTTTTGCTTGTCTTTATCTGAATGTTTAGAACTGAGTATTTTTCAAATGTCGATATTGTGTCGACGAGCTGAGAAAGCTACTGCTCTTGAATCCCCATTTTTCTTAGCGGGAGTTTTGATTTTGTTTGGAGCTGCCTGGGATGAAACTTTCCCCAGACTTGTTTAATCTCAGCAACATTAAATAGCCTATATTCCCGGGGCCTCGCGAACCTACGGAGAATGTATGAGTTTTATTTGATTTAGTTGTTTTAACATCATCCGATCGTTCTGAGCAACTTTGGACCAGAAACTCAGAAGCCCGCTCATTTCTTGCCTTGAATGAACGAAGTCACGGTTCCAACGACAGAGCCTGGAGTGTGTTCCGCTGAGCTATAGCGACACCAAACAAACTCAGAGTGCAAGCCCAGGGCTGACGGCCCGTTGCTGCAAGTGTTTTCCCGCAAAGGACTCCGGAACAAATTATTTAGTTAGAATTTAAAATCTGAAATGATCCTCGACATGCAATGATGACACAATGCATGTCGAGGTGACGGATGTTTTGTACTTAAACTGGACATCTATGGATACAGATGTGGAGTTGATCTGGCCATACTCATTCTCAGACTTGCAGTGGTAGATCCCGCTGTCCTTAGAGCTGATAGAGGTGAAATGATAAATGTCTCCTGGTCTCTGAATCAGTGTTTGGTTCTCCTTGTACCAGGTGTATTTAGCTGCTGGGTTAGCATCACTGCTGCAGGTCAGAGTCACTGAACTGCCCTCCACTATCTCAGCAGAGGGACTCACTGACACAGAGGGAAGCTTTGGAGCATCTGGAGAAGAAAACGTGAACACATGTAACATTTCATTTCAAGATGAGGTTGAATTTTCACAGTGGAGCATTTTAAATGGACAATATTTCATACAAACACAAATTGGAGGTGCAGCTTGATTTCCTCCTTATCAGAAACTACATGGGTTCCTGTTACCATGGATACAAGTTGGACACTTTGATACTGAAGCAGTGGACTAAAGACTGAAGGAGAGTGGTAATCTTTATGTCCTGTAAGAAATTTGCTTAATCATTTTCTTTCATTCGTTAGATGGCGTATACTGTGTGTGTGTGTAGTAAGTAAGTAAAGTTTATTTGTATAGCACCTTTCACAGATAAAAATCACAATAAAATGTAATACAACACAACAAAGTGTGTGTGTGTGTGTGGATTTACATAAGGCACATGTTAGAAATACCAAAATAGAAGGATGTTTTTATCTTTAAATCCAACAGAAAACCTAAAGCACATAAACATCACAGACATGAAGACTCAAAATGTCCAACAGTCCAGCAGTGCTGAAGACAGGAGACCAAGCAAATGATCCTGGTTCAGTGTCTTTGGACACCACCATGTCTACTGATGACCTCTAGTGGGTAAATAAGCTAAATGAGTGCACTGAACAATGAAAACGTGTGTCAGACATGATTTTCCCACATGTGGCATTTTCTGACATCATCACTTCCACAAGGAAACTTGATTGGACAGATCTTGTAACACTAATCACTTAAAAATATCTGACTTCATTCTTTTCACTCATGTGTTTGTGTGGATGGATCAGAATAAGTTAAAACCTGGACCCATGAAGTGTTTTGCTGAAGAACACATTTTAAAAAGCGTCCATTAAAGATACAAGAACAGATAATCAGGGAATTTCTCTGATGATGCACAAGATTGATCTGATCCAAAGAATTTAAACAGTCTAAAGACAAGATAACAAATCTTGTTTTAATACGTTTTCATTGTGAGTTATTTTACAGTTTAATTTTGCAGTAAAGACAGTGAATAAAAACTAATTATGCAACATGTCTACAATCTCATGGGGAAATGATTTGGTTTTCATCCAGTTCTACAATGAATCACCAAATACCACTGAGTTACATGCAGTTAATGTGCAGTACAATAGGTTAAAGGCTCCACCAGATGGTGTCATGTCAGTGGAAGACTGGATGTAAACTCACACACTGAAGGAGAGCGGGACTTCTCATATCCTCCTACAGCACAGGAAAAGCTGTCTGCAGGATAAAAGTAGGCTGAATAAGAATTAGATGTTTGTCCCCAAATGTTCTGTCCATTCTTGTACCAGATGTAGGAAGGATGACCAGGTGGAAGACAACTGCTGTGACACTTCAGCTCTGTCCAGTTATAAGACTCATAGACCTGTAATCTGCTCACCTGCACCTGGAGATCTGAATATGTGAATAACGAACAGAAATCTTAACTTTAGACTGAACTGTCAACATAGAAACACAGTAACCTTCATAAGATGTTGGACATTTGCAACTAAATAAATAAATATTCAGACAAAAATGTTACCTGTGACAGACAGAGTGACTCCAGGTGAACCAGTATATTTCCCACGTTCTTGGTTTGTTATGAACCTGAACTTGTACTCAGCTGAGTCGCTCTCTCTCAGGTCGGTGATTCTCAGAGTGCAGTAGGGCTCACCACAGCTATGTGTCAAACGACCTGAATAGTTTGTGTCCATTATTAGATCCACATTACTTTCTTCAGTAAACCAGAATATTCTCTCAACTTTAGTCTCATGGCCATTTGTTTTGAGTGGGTATGTATATTTGGAGGACATATCAACTGTTGATCCTTTGAAGGCACAGATCTTAGTAGTAGAAGTGTAAGTCACTCCCCAGTCATTCTGGCTCTGTACAACTGTAACACAGAGCACATCAGAAACAACAATCAACATTACTAACATCATTTAACAATCAGTTAATAAGACAAAGTGGATCATACTACCGATATGATTTGGCGAAAATGTAACCTGGACAAGTTTCAAGGTCCTCAGTTGTCTGACTAATTATCTGCAGTCATTGTCATAAAAAGTTCCTGAACCTTAACTGGAATAGAGAATTTTATAAGATACCAATATATATTACTATAATTATAAGGTTTTTTTAAAATCATTTTTTTGGAATATTTCTGGTTAATTCTGCTTTGGCCTATTCATTCAAACAAAAAAAAAGAGTCCTCAAAAAAGTGCCTGAAAAGTGCAGCTTATGTGTCAACACACAAGTTATCCAAACAGAAAATGAATAAAAGGACATTTTACACACTTTACTGGGATAAAACAGAGGGACATAAAATACTCTACTGTATTGTTCTTCCCCCAAGGCACTTTCTAACTCCAGATATAATTATTCAATGCTTTATGACTTTTTTTGATGTTACAGAAAAACTTTCTCAGTTATACACAGTCAGTGCAAAGGAAGATTTCTACAGTTCATCTCTATGTGCACTGAGGCAGGACATCATCCAGTCTGAAGGTGCAGTGAAGTGAACAGGAAAGTATCAGACCTGTGACCTTTAATGCAGTTTACTGACCGGGATAAGAGGAGAAATATAAATTATTAGAGAGTCTGTGCTTTTCTTGGTCAGTTCTCTCTGTTCACTCTGCAGTCAGGTTGCTGCAGAGTTAAGTGTGAAAGCTAAAAATAAATGCAGCGCACTGAGGTGTGGAAGAGTTTCTAGCAGCTAAACATAAGATAGCAGAAAACTGCTATCAAGGTCTCTGACTTTAGCACCCGCTGAATGAGGGTATATTGTTGGTAGAGGCTGTAAAATCATCAGACCATCCACCACTTTGAAAGGGGAAACATTAAATTACAATTTGCCTAAATGAGCTGAATGTTGTTCCGTCATTTAGGCTATCTAGGTGCATACATTTCTAAAGTGATACAATTTCTGTGTGGAAGGCAACATAACTTGCTTGCCACAGCGGCAGGCAGTAAAGAAAGATAATTTTGGACCCTGCTGCTGTCAACACAGACCACAGAAACATCACTGAGGTCAGACAGTACAAAAGGAAGTAGCAGGGTTTCGTGCAGATGAAGATATGAGATAAATTGTGCCAGTATGACTTCACTGTGAGACCAGAATCTCTTTAAAAACCTTCTCCGTGATAAAAATAGTTGCAGATAGGAGCTAATCATCCGCCATCTTCTGCAACCAGAGTCGACTTTAGAACACATTAAACAGGGCAATAGGTTTTCACAGGGTGAGAAGGGAACATTCATAACTAAAACCCCAAATATTCTCAGTTTACAACATGTAGAAGTGACTGCACACAATTACCTTAAGTAAAAGAAAAGAGCAAAGGATGATGGCCATCACAAACCACGATCTTCTTAATATTCATTACGACACAAAAACAAACAAAAAATGATTAAAAAACAAATTAACATCTGGGGAGTTTCTACAATTACACACAAAACCAATGTTTGTAGCGTTTCCTTTCACACAACTCTGATCCACTTTTTTCCACATGTGACCTTCAGCCTACTTTTACAAGACCCATATTTTCCCAGATTCCCCTGTTTTAATGCAATAAATATAAGTTTAGATATTCAGTACCTGACACAGAGAGAAGGAAGACAACAAATCCACTTGTTGCTGCAGTTAAACTCATAGCTGCTCCTCTCATCTCTCTGTGTGGCTTCAGAGACAATAAAACATGTCAGCATATAAAATAATGTACACAGGAGATATACAGTACCAGTCACATCAATAAATAATTCTACTTACAATGAAGAAGGGCACTGTCTTTAAAGAAGCCTTCCTCTGTGGTCAGTAAGCAGAAGATAGATATCAGGCTGTTAAACTACTAGATTTCCTTCCTCTTTAGATTATTGATATTCATGATGAGCCAAATGCCAGTTAACACCAACATCAAAATAAAGAAGTGACAATTTGCAAACTATGAACTTAATAAGAGAGAATAAGAAAATATTGTTATGGCCTGTTGGTATTAAACCTGTTTCGCTGTAAAAATCCCAGACACAAGCAAAGACCATTCAAAAAGAGAAAACACATTTTTAAACTCTTCCAATTTTAAGCACAAAAACAAGAATGGTGTAAAAGTAGGTTTGATGCATCACTTGACACTTCAAGTGCATCTTTAGACAGTGAAAATTACATTTATACCAGTTTAAGTTCAAAGAGATGTGCTGCAGCAGTATGGGATGCTAAAAGTCTTATGCTGAGTCTGGGCTTCACAGTAATAATTCCCACTGTGTTCAGCTCTGAAGTCAGTGATGGTGAAGTTCTGTCCTGATGCTTTTGGTGAGTCTTCATTCTCCTTGTACCAGGTATAATTAGCTGCTGGGTTAGCATCACTGCTGCAGGTCAGAGTCACTGAACTGCCCTCCACTATCTCAGCAGAGGGACTCACTGACACAGAGGGAAGCTTTGGAGCATCTGGAGGAGAAAACATAAATCAACAAAAATTGAGGATAGATTTCTTTGTTTTGTGTTGAAATGAGTGTGGAAGCATCTGAAATTTTGGAGGTGGTTTTGTGACTGGCAGCAGACAGAGCTGTGTGTTTTGGCCACTTGAATTATACTCATTTACATCTAAGAAGATACCAGATGAACGTGCATCTTACGTGGGTAAAACAGAGGTAAGTTATATCACCCAAAATTATTGCAGTGTGTTGTAAATACTGCATTAATGGCCCGATTGACTATCGAAAAGCAGAGTTGGATAAATATACTTAATGATATTATATTACTAGTTAGTACATGATAAGATATCAATAAACTGTATACGTCATTTATGGTTTGACATGTACATTCATTGTCATAATTGCTATTTGAAAAAAACAACAACAAACAATTGTTACTTTTCTCCAGATGACTGTTGATGTTTCTACTGTTATTTAATTGCATGGGGTTCAAAACCTTTGCCTTTCCTACATTTCAAAAGTGTTTGCCACCCAACAAAATCCAGTACAGTATATGGACATACAGGTGCATCTCACAAAATTTGAATATTGTCAAAAAGTTATTTTCTTCTCCTTAATTTAATTCAGAAAGGGAAACTTTCATATAATCCAAATAATAAAAGCCTTCTTTTTTTTTTTAATCTTGATGATTTTGATGAACAGTTTACAGTTCACCGAAATCAAAAATCCATATCTCAAAATATTAGCTCATTTCCTGGGTTAGGTAGCTTTGGAGCATCTTCAGGAGTTTTAAACATATTTTGGCTTAAAATTACAATGATTTTGTAAAACATAGTCTGTTTTTTGTTGATTGTTTATTTTCTAAAGTTAAATGTTTATTCAAGAGAAAATTAAAGAAAGTAAATGTTATTTTGATTATTGATACTGCACGTGTGTTTCTGCTCTCCAATTACACTCATTTATAGCAAAATTATTTTCTCTTTTTAATTTTTACCTTGACTATTTGCTATTTTTTTATGGAAATAACTATCCCTCATTCCAATTTTTGTAGAATTTAAAATTAAAACAAAAAGCTTGAATGAATTAAACTGCCTGATTGAAAATACATTTTGTTCATAATAAATGGATCATGTTTATGAAGAGGAACTAAAAAATGTCAAAAAGGTAAAACTGAATTGTTCTTGACTATTTTGGTGAAACCTTTTAAACCAGATTATATTATTTTAATGGAATAATTAGGAGTGAACTCACACACTGAAGGAGAGGGGAACAGCTCATATCCTGATACAGCACAAGAATAGCTGTCTGCAGGAACAAATGGATGATGTGCATGAAAATAAACTTTATTTTCCTGAATGTTCTGTCGATTCTTGTACAAGATGTAGGAAGGACGATCAGGCAGCCGACACTTGCTGTGACAGGCCAGCTCAGTCCAGTTAGAAAACTGGTTGACTGTGGATCTGGGATTAACCAACAGAAATGTTATTTTTAGAATTGACAGTCAGTTCAGTTCTTTTACTATCCCAAGTGGAAAACTTGAGATGAAGTCAGTTCACATGATAAAACACAACAAGTATCACACAAACAACCCAAGTACAAATGCAAAACAGAAAGAAATACATAAATGTGCCCACCATAGACAGTACACTAAAAACACCTAAAAACATAAAACAATCTCTAAAATGCAAGGTTAGCCAAGACAAAATACACACTGGCTAACATATCCTAAACATTTGAAACTGTCTTCCAGTGAAAATGTTACCTGTGACAGACACAGTGACTCCAGGTGAACCAGTAAATGTCCCTGTTGAAGTGTTGAACTTGAACTTGTACTCAGCGGAGTCGCTCTCTCTCAGGTCTCTGATTCTCAGAGTGCAGAAGTTGTTTCCACATTGATGCTGCACACGATCTGTTTCCAGATCCACATATTGATCATTTCTCTCTTTTGTGAACCAGATTATAGTATGGTCGTCATTTATTCTGGATGGGTATCTGTATGTGCAGCTTATGTCCACTGTTGATCCTTTTAAGGCACAGATCTCAGTAGAAGTGTAACTCACTCCCCAGTCATTCTGACTCTGTACCACTGTAACACAGAGCAGAAAACAGTCAGATTTATAACAGCAGAGGATAGATTTTAATATTTTATAAAAATGAACGACTAAGCTGACTGCGAGTGACACACAAACACAGGTTTTGTGGTTACAGACACGTACATTCATGGTGCAGTGCATTAGCTAAACTGATCCTGAAGACTGTGGAGAAAACTCACAGACTGAAGGAGAGCGGGAGTTCTCATACCCATTTACAGCACAGGAAAAGTTGTGTACAGGATCAAAGGAGCCTGAGTAAGTAGATGTTCCCTGCCTGTACTGTCCATTTTTATACCAGACATAGGACAGATGATCAGGTAGATGACAACTGCTGTGACACTCCAGCTCTGCCCAGTTAGAAGTCTTGTAGATGTCTAATCTGGTCACCTGCACCTGGAGATCTGAATACGTGAATAAGAAGGCTTCATTTTAGACTGAACTGCCAACATACACACACACACAACTAACGTTCATAAGATGTTGAATACTGGGAACTAAATTGTTACCTGTGACAGACAGAGTGACTCCAGGTAAACCAGTATATTTCCCACGTTCTTGGTTTGTTATGAACCTGAACTTGTACTCAGCTGAGTCGCTCTCTCTCAGGTCTGTGATTCTCAGAGTGCAGCGGTTCTTATCACAGCTATACGTCACGCGACCTGAATACTCTGGGTCCGATTTCAGATCCACATAAACATTATCACTCTCTTTCGTAAACCAGAATGTTTCCTCAGCTTTGGTATCATGATTATTTAAGCTGGAGGGATATATGTAGGTGCAGCTTAATTCCACTGTTGATCCTTTTACGGCACAGATCGGAGTAGAAGTGTAAATCACTCTCCAGCCATTCTGACTCTGTACAACTGAAAAACAGGTGACTTCAGAATCCAAAATCCGATCCATAACAACATCAGAGAACAGACTTCATTTTACTTATTTATTTTTGTAGAACTTAATTGAACTACTGTACATTTACAAAACTACTTCCAGAGGAGTCAAGCTATTTGCCACAGAGTGAAACTAGTGTAACTGAACTAGAACTGAAGTATAAGTATTTTATCAGGTGTTTCTGTTTTTAATGATGTCATTGGAATATTTATCACTATTAGGTGCTTCAGCTTTGGTCCATTCATTTAAGACATAAAAATGTTTCTGCATTAGGGGTGGAGCAGGAAAGTACCACCTTTTAATAATTTTTAGTAAAAGTGCCTTGTATTTAATGTTTTTTGGAGACCTGACACCAAAATCCTAAAGTCGCTTTGCCATTTTGTCCATTCGGCTGGTGCTCATCCAGCAGATTGAACAATTTTAGAAGATCAATTCATCAAATCCATGTAAATTAAAAACAGATTAACTTTATGGTAGACTGCTGACTGAGGGCATTCCCCATAACATTAGATCCTGGACACTTGTAATTTGCCCAAATCCATATTTAAAATTTCTAGGTGGTCCAGGGTCCCTGCACTACTTTGAGCTCTGAACTAAAGAAGTCAATTTCTGCCAGGAAGTGAAAACAATGATAGAAAGAACAAAAAATCTAAATCATAAGATACTAAGTACAAATTTTTACTTCCTAAGTAGAAATTGTGAGCTGGTGCTCGCTCATTATTTTGACTTCATATTCAAGAGAAAAAAATGCATTGACACTGACTCATTCTGCTTGGCAATAAAACAGGTAGTTTTCCTGCAAATCCAAGTGAAAAAGTAATTTTACACAATTAAAAAGGTTAGCCATCAACTTAATGACATAAAAGTAGAAATATGTGCGAGAAGACTTCACTGTTTGAGACTCAACACGAAGAGAAGCAGAATAATTGAGTTAGACAAGTAGTCGTCCTTCTATGGGGATGAATAATTCAAGCTAATGTATTTTCCTCCTTTGCAACCCTTACTGTACACATTAAATTTATGCTATCAAGGATTCAGATAGACTATATAATATACAAGAAAGTCCACAAACCACTGTGTGGTAACAATCCAGACACAGACATTTATACACATGAAATGAAATACAGATAAAAAGTGAGGTGAAAAGAACAAATGGTACAAAAAGTGTACAAAATCTCATTTAGAGAGGAAAGAAATGCAAACTCTGTAGTTTCATCTTCAGCTTTATTGATCTCTGGGAGGAAGTGACATGTTACAGCATCACAAGAGACTGCTGGCTAAGAGGTAACAAACACCAACACTATTTGACTGAAATAATTACAAATAGAAAAGGAAGGAAATTAGAAGGAAGCCAATCAAAAAACTGCATAGACTATATATACATTAGCTGAGATAAGAGAATTGTGAAGGTATTTATGCAAAACTCCCTCACTTACTTACAGACACTGTGGAGCAGCCTCAGCCTTACTTTTACTCTGTTATTAATGCACCTCTTTACTTTTATTTTGACTTACTGATGTTGGATATCACTGTAACTACTACTCCTGAACTAACAGTAGAGTCACACTCACAAAACATGTAGCTCCTAACTAGCTGAGTTTTATGAAACTCCATCAAAAAATAAGGGGTGTTTAAGTCCTAACTGTAAGACTCAAACAAACAAGTTTAGCTCTGAAAGTAGCTCCTAGGTCTGAGAGGCTTAACTTCCTCTGGTGCACTAACAGTTACTTCAGGTACATTTTGGTGTCTCCAGGAAGAGGTTTGGCAGGAAGGAGAGTTGTTAGAGAGCAGAGATAAAAGGTCACTGAATGCTGAACTTTCAAAGACTGTAAAAAACATGTTACACACATAATATTCAAGTTAATGCTTTAAGTCATAAAATACTTTACACATTCTTTAAAGCTGCACATGCAGAGTAAAAATCTAAGCTGAACACTGGTTACATTTACTCATTTAGCTGACGCTTTTATCCAAAGCAACTTACAACTGCTAAATATGTCAGAGGTCACACGCCTCTGGAGCAACTAGGGGTTAAGTGTCTTGCTCAGGGACACATTGGTGGGATGTGTCTTATCCACTGCTCATAGAAATATCAAAAATGCAGTGTCTGTTCATTAGGTTTTGTTGACGGTGCTGTACAATGCAGCTGAATCCTCTCCAGTTTCCTGACCCCTGGATCTGAGAAAAAAGAAGATGTTTGAAATAATATAATTACCATCATATCCCAACAGTGATAATTAAAATGTAAAAAAACAGAAAGGGAAAATGCAAAAGCAACATATTTATTTCACAGTTATGTCATTTTAATCTTGTAGTAAGGATAATGTGAGAAGAGTTGCTCACCTCGGGGCAGTATTACTCTTAAATGTGACAACAGCGTACTCCATGACTTCTTGCTGCTCCGTGTGTCTGAGGGAGCGAGCTGGTCTGATGTTGGAGTAGAGAGGATCTGCCTGGTTGTTGGTGAAGTGAATGCTGGCATACTGAAGGTTATCCTGCTCCTCTGGCTGTTCAGGTAGAAACTGCACAGACATATTTTACATGAGTGGGTTTTTCATTTGAATAGTGAATTCTTACAGATGATTGCAATAAAAATGCATGAAGTCCTTCTCAGTCAGATTCATTTTCCAGAAGCACTTGAAGAGTGAGTGACTTTTGTTCTTGAATAAGATCCATGACTATTCTCACCTGTTCCCTGTTGTCTGGTCTCTCTTCAGGCTCAGACGATTCCTTGGAAGCCCTCTTTTTCCTGGTTAGGAGAATAAATAAGAAAATAAATGACTGAACGTTTTAGATTGGACAAACTGACCTTCAGTGATTTAACATTCAATGATTCAGTGAAACAGAGCTGCTCACCTGATCCACAGGAAGAGACAGAGGGAAATGATAACCAGGAGAACAACAGTGATTGTTGTAGCAACTGTTATTTTCCCTGCTCCTGAGAAATGGGGAACAGAAGAAAACACAGACAGTAAATTAGAGTGTTACAGCATGTTTGGACCCATTGCTCCCATAGAGTAACACTGCTTTCCAAACACCAATCAGAGTAAACCAAATTATAACAATGTAAAGAAACTGATTTGGAGCGTTACAAAGAAGAAACTAAAAGCCAAAGTAGATCAGAATGTTCTGTCTAAAAAGAGATTATTATCTCTCTACTGTCAGAGATAGAAAGCAGAGACAGATCCGAACCAAGTACAGTGCATTTGTGTTTACTGTATTATAGTTTTGCAAGAATTGTTTGCTTTTGCAAGGGATGTATAATGTTTTGTTTTATTGGTGTAAGGTTTTGTGATTAGTGTGTAGAGGTTTTAAAAAATAGCCACTAGTTTGAAAAATTGTGCCTAAGGAATTAAAAAACACTGTAATGTCCCCAGCTGAGGTCCACAATTTCCTGCACTCACTGAAAACATACAAGCTGATACATTTCAGAGTGTGTGTGAGCTTAATGCAAAAACTTACCTGCCACAACAATCAGATGTAAGGTGGAGTTATGACGTCCTCTTCTGTTCTGGGCTTCACAGTAATAATTCCCACTGTGTTCAGCTCTGAAGTCAGTGATGGTGAAGTTCTGTCCTGATGCTTTTGGTGAGTCTTCATTCTCCTTGTACCAGGTATAATTAGCTGCTGGGTTAGCATCACTGCTGCAGGTCAGAGTCACTGAACTGCCCTCCACTATCTCAGCAGAGGGACTCACTGACACAGAGGGAAGCTTTGGAGCATCTGGAGGAGAAAACATGAACACTTTTAACATTTAATTTCAAGATGAGGTTGAATTTTCACAGTGGAGCATTTTAAATGGACAATATTTCATACAAACACAAAGTGGAGGTGCAGCTTGATTTCCTCCTTTATCAGAAACTATGTGGGTTCCTGTTACCATGGATACAAGTTGGACACTTTGTTACTGAAGCAGTAGACGAAAGAGTGAAGGAGAGTGGTAATCTACATGTCTATAAGAAGTTTCCTTCATTTTCTTTCATTAATATCATAGAGGGAAGCTACTGAAGAGTGTGTGTGTGTGTGCACACAATGGGGATTCACATAAGGCCATTTATGTTTTTTTTGTGTTGGGTGCAGTACTCCAGTGGGCCAGTAGGTGGCTCCTGTCTGTTTTGGGTCAAAGGTAATTTAAGTAGGAACCTTTGCAAAGGTTCATTTAGTTTTTTGACCGCTCTGGCACGCTAAGATGGGCGGCGCCGTACAAAGGTTGTATGAAAATGTGTAACATTCAGTGGATGGCATTATGGATTATTGTATTTACCTGAAGACCATCATCGATGAACAATGAATTCAATCAAAACGGCAAATGCAAACAACATTATTTCGTATCACACTAGTGGCCTATGGCGGCTGCAAACGCATTAATTAGATACCTGTCTTTTTGTGACTTTTAGCCACTACACACGTGTTAGAAATACCAAACTAGAAGGATGTTCTCTGAAGAATGCAAGTTTGGGCTGTCAGGTTACTTTTGAAACTGAATATTAAAAATAAAAATGTAATTTAATTTATTTTTTAAGGATAAAGGACAAAAGATCTTTGCAATTACACATTAACAAGGTCACAGTCATGGTTATTTATTAAATACAAGGGTAACACAAAAAATCTAGCTTGTTTTGTTGTATTACTTTTGTCCCAGCTGACGGGGTCAAAAGTAAGAATGTGCCACTTATGTTTAAAGTGAAATTATACAGAAGTTGTTCTACATTTGTACAAAATACCACCTGATATTGATAGACCACACCTGTGAGTTAGTGACCACAGCAAAAATATATCTCTGTCTGAAACATTATCTCTTAAAATCATGTTTTTCTGAAAAATGGTTCTTTAGCCCCTGCTCTCCCCTACTGTAGCTGCTCAGTGAACTACAGCAGCAGACTGTGAATGTGAAACAGGCAGAGCTGAAGAAAGAGCATGATCAGTAAAACATTTGACTGGATAATTAAACTTTAAAAAGTTTTCATAAGTTTTAAATTAACTGTGTTTTGCTCACATTTCACATTAATAGAGACTAATCCAGATGTCTTTCTTCCTTCATTCTTGACTGCACAGTAATACTCTCCAGAGTCAGAGGACTGGATGGAGCTGAAGACAAGCTGTGGTTCTTTACTGAGCAGTGTTTTTTTCTTCTTGTACCAGGTGTATTTAGCTGCTGGGTTAGCATCACTGCTGCAGGTCAGAGTCACTGAACTGCCCTCCACTATCTCACCAGAGGGACTCACTGACACAGAGGGAAGCTTTGGAGCATCTGGAGGAGAAAACATGAACACATTTAACACATTAAATGGACAATATTTCACACAAACACAAAGTGGAGGTGCAGCTTGATTTCCTCCTGTATCAGAAACTATATGGGTTCCTGTTACCATGGATACAAGTTGGGACGTTACTGAAGTAGTGGACTAAAGACACACTGAAGGAGAGTGGTAATCTACATGCCCTTTAAGAAATTTCCTTCATTTTCTTTCATTGATTTTTGTATATTAGCAATGGGTTTTCACCTAAGACACATGTTAAGGCCAAACTAGAAGGATGTTCTTATCTTTAAGTCAAACAGAAAACCTAAAGCACAAAATCATCACAGACATAAAGACTGAAAATGTCCAACAGTGCTGAAGACAGGAGACCAAGCAAATGATCCTGGTTCAGTGTCTTTGGACACCACCATGTCTACTGATGACCTCTAGTGGGTAAATAAGCTAAATGAGTGCATTGAACAATGAAAATGTGTGTCAGACATGATTTTCCCACATGTGGCATTTTCTGACATCATCACTTCCACAAGGAAACTTGATTGGACAGATCTTGTAACACTAATCACTTAAAAATATCTGACTTCATTCTTTTCACTCATGTGTTTGTGTGGATGGATCAGAATAAGTTAAAACCTGGACCCATGAAGTGTTTTGCACGTGAAAGTAAGGAACAATATTACTGAATAACACATTTACCAAGAAGTGTCCATTAAAGATACAAGAACAGATAATCAGGGAATTTCTCTGATGATGCACACGTTTGATCTGATCCAAAGAATTTAAACAGTCTAAAGACAAGATAACAAATCTTGTTTTAATACATTTTCATTGTGAGTTATTTTACAGTGAAGACAGAAAATAAGAGTTAATTATGCAACATGTCTACAATCTCATGGGGAAATGATTTGGTTTTCATCCAGTTCTACAATGAATCAGCAAATACCACTGAGTTACATGCAGTTAATGTGCAGTACAATAGGTTAAAGGCTCCACCAGATGGTGTCATGTCAGTGGAAGACTGGATGTAAACTCACACACTGAAGGAGAGCGGGACTTCTCATATCCTCCTACAGCACAGGAAAAACTGTCTGCAGGATCAAAGTAGGCTGAATAAGAATTAGATGTTTGTCCCCAAATGTTCTGTCCATTCTTGTACCAGACGTAGTAATGATGACCAGGTGGAAGACAACTGCTGTGACACTTCAGCTCTGTCCAATTAGTAGACCCCCGTAATCTGCTCACCTGCACCTGGAGATCTGAATATGTGAATAATTAATTTTGGACCGAACATATACAAACACACAAACACATACAGATGTGAGTAATCTTCATAAGATGTTGAACATTTGGAACTAAATAAATAAATATTCAGATGAAAATGTTACCTGTGACAGACAGAGTGACTCCAGGTGAACCAGTATATTTCCCACCTGGTTGGTTTGTTATGAACCTGAACTTGTACTCAGCTGAGTCACTCTCTCTCAGGTCTGTGATTCTCAGAGTGCAGTAGTTCATATCACAGTTATACTCCACACGACCTGAATAGGTCGGGTCCGTTCTTAGATCCACATAATCATAATTACTCTTTTATAAACCAGAATGTTTCCTCAACTGTAGTTTTGTGGTCATTTATTCTGGATGGGTATGTGAGGGTGCAGTATATTTCCACTGTTGATCCTTTGAAGGCACAGATCTTAGTAGAAGTGTACGTCACTCCCCAGTCATTCTGACTCTGTACCACTGTAACACAGAGCACATCGAAACAATCAACATTAATAACTTAATTTAGCAATCAGTTATAATACAAGTGGATCAACTACTAATAAGATTTGAGAGAAACGTAACCAAACTTCAAAATCCTGAATATCTGCAGTCATTGTCACAGAAAGTTTATAAGGTGTTTGTCATTTTAATGTTGTGAAAAGTTGGGTTTCTGCTTGGGTCCATTCATTCAAAAAAATCTAAACAAAATGTCTGAAAAGCTT